TCACCTCCTTGAAGGAGAAATATCTACATAAATTAATTCAAATTCTTCTATTCTCTCCCTTTTATGTTTCTGTTCAATTGTTTATATCAGCATGGATTCATGGATATTTATTTTATACTTCAGGTTGTAGTCCAATACTGTATTTTGTTGCTTAAATTGTTAACAGCTTTAGCTATTGTGAACTCTTCCAGTTGGTCCTGTGCCCCTTTGACATTTACCCACCAATATCAATACTTTTTTTATTGAACTATAATAAGTTTGCAATATTGTGTGAATTTCTGCTATATAGCATAGTGATTCAGTTATACATACATATATATACACACACATATATATATTCCTTTTCATATTCTTTTTCATTATAGGCCATTACAAGATACTGGATATAGTTCCCTATGCTGTGTAGTAGAACCTTGTTGTTTACCTATTTTGTATATAGTTGTTAGTATCTACAAATCCCAAACCCCCAATTTATCTCTCCCCACTCCCTTTTCCCCCTGGTAACCATAAGGTTGTTTTCTTTTCTTTTTTTTTCTTAGTTTTTTATTTTTTGGTGGAGGGGAGGTGATTAGGTTTATTTATTTACATTTTAAAGGAGGTACTGGAATCTGAACCCAGACCTCATGAACCCAGGACCTCATGCATGCTACACATGTGCTCTACCACTTTGAGTTATACCCTCCCCCCATAAGTTTGTTTTCTATGTCTGAGAATCTGTTTCTGTTTTTATAAATAAGTTTATTTGTCTCATTTTTTTAGATTCCACGTATAAGTGATATCATATCTCTTTCTGACATGCTTCACTTAGTGTGATAATTTCTAGGTCCATCCATGTTGTTGCAAATGGCATTGTTTCATTCGTTTTTGTGGCTGAGTAGTATTCCAGTGTGTGTGTGTGTGTGTGTATCACAATTTATTTATTCAATCATCTGTCAATGGGCATTTAGGTTGCTTCCATGATCAATACTTTTTTTTGAACATTTTTTTTATTGAGTTAGTCATTTTACAATATTGTTTCAAATTGCAGGTTGGGCACAATTTTTCACTTACACATGAACAAACATATATTCATTGTCACATTTTTTTTCACTGTGAGCTACCACAAGATCTTGTATATATTTCCCTGTGCTATACAGTATAATCTTGTTTATCTATTCTACATATGCCTGTCAGTATCTACAAATTTTGACCTCCCAGTCTATCCCTTCACATCCACCTCCCCCTTGGCAACCACAAGTTTGTATTCTATGTCTATGAGTCTGTTTCTGTTTTGTATTTATGTTCTTTTTTTTGTAGATTCCACATATGAGCAATCTCATATGGTATTTTTCTTTCTCTTTCTGGCTTACTTCACTTAGAATGACATTGTCCAGGGACATCCATGTTGCTGCAAATGGCATTATGTTGTCATTTTTATGGCTGAATAGTATTCCATTGTATAAATATACCATCACTTCTTTATCCAGTCATCTGTTGATGGACATTTAGGCTGTTTCCATGTCTTGGCTATTGTAAATAGTGCTGCTATGAACATTGGGATGCAGGTGTCCTTTGGAAGTAGGGTTCCTTCTGGATATATGCCCAGGAGTGGGATTACTGAGTCATATGGTAAGAGTATTCCTAGTCTTTTGAAGAATCTCCATACTGTTTTCCACAGTGGCTGCACCAAACTGCATTCCCACCAGCAGTGTAGGAGGGTTCCCTTTTGTCCACACCCTCTCCAGCATTTGTCATTTGTGGACTTTTGAATGATGGCCATTCTGACTGGTGTGAGGTGATACCTCATTGTAGTTTTGATTTGCTTTTCTCTGATAATTGGTGATATTGAGCATTTTTTCATGTGCTTATTGATCATTTGTATTTCTTCGTGGGAGAATTGCTTCTTCAGGTCTTCTGCCCATTTTTGAATTGGGTTGTTTGTTTTTTTCTTATTAAGTTGTATGAGCTGCTTAAAGATTCTGGAGATCGAGCCTTTGTTGGTTT